ACTTCCTGGTGGTTACCACCTATATAAATGAGAAACACTCCCTCCCCACGTACCCCACAATTTTCTCTCTACGGATTGTTGTTCTTTGCATTCTCTCTTTCTCTCTTTGTCTTGTTATTTACATTCTTATGTATTTCCACAAACACAAACCAAAGAGCTAGATAAATAGGCCATTTTACAACAGTTTATAATTGATAAAAGTTGTTTTGGATTTATCTTAGATAATAAAAAATAAAATTGGGCCTATAATGACCCTTGTGTAATGAGGGGTTTTTGTCAAATTTTCTCACAAGAAAAATCCTTTTATATATACCAAAATTACCCCCAACTCCTTCAAACCCTAAATCAATTCCAATTTCATTATTTACACCCCAATTCAACCCGATTAACTAATTTTGACCCTTATTCCAATTTTGACCCCCACCGCCGGTCTTTGGCGTTAACTTTTTTTTTTTGAATTTTCTTTTTCTGATTTTTTTTTCCTGCAGGTCAACCGCCGGTCTCCGGCGTTGACTTTTTTTTCTTTCGGAAAACTTGTTATTCTTAAAAAAAATATTTTAATTAATATTACTGTCTTGTCCTTCTATATTACTGTCTCCAACAGTAATAATACTGACAGGGACAATAATTTAACTGTTTGAGGCAGTAATTTTACCGTATTAATTTATTTTAACGTCTTGGCCTCCAATTTTGCTGTCTTCGACCATAGTATTAATGTTTCCAGCTGTAATATTACTGTCTCATGTAGGGGTGCAAGTTCGAACGGAAATTCCAATTTCCGCCGGTTTCAATCCGAAAAGTTCCAATTTTGGAACAACTTTTTTCATTCCGACTTCCGAAATTCCGATTTCCGAGTTTTTCCGATTTTTTTGCATTGGAATTGGAATTATATAAAATAAATTTGGAATTTCCAATTTCCGATCCGATTTGATTTCCGAAATTAATTCCAAAAATTTTCGATTTTTTTTCCCGAAAATACACCTAAAAATAATAAATATTATATAATATTTATTTTTCCGATAAATACACCTATAATTTTTTTTAGGATTTTGACATAATGAATTGTTGTTAGGAGTTTTATTAAATATTATGTTGTGTTTTTTTTTAATTTGTTTTTTGAACTGAAATTAGTAATTATTAGTTTTACTTTTATGGACGTGGATGTTCTTATTTTTGGAAAATTATGAACATTTAAGAAAAAAATTGCTAATTTTTGAAATTTTTAAGCTTATGTAATTTCCGATTTTTTCCGAAATTCCGAAATTTCCGGGCCTTTTGGAATTGGAATGCATTTTTAGATTCCGACAATTTTGGAATTGGAATCGGAATTGATTTTGTACTTCCAAAACTTTTTGGAAATTTTTCGAAATAGCTAATTCCGATCCGATCCATCCGACTTTCACCCCTAGTCTCATGCAATAATATTATTGTTTCGGACAATAATATTAGTAATATTGTTGTTCGGGAAAGTAACATTCATAATATTACTGTTCGGGGCAGTAATATTAGTGTTCGGGATAGCAATATTACTGTTTGGGACAGTAATATTGGTGTTCGGGAAAGTAACATTCATAATATTCTTTTTTTTTTAACTTTTTTTTTCTCTCTAAAGTATTACTACCTGAGACAATAATTTTGTTGTTAACACAATAATTTAGAGAGCAAAAAATGTTTCAAAAAAAAAAAAGAATTCAACGCCAGAGAACTGCGCGATCAACGCCGGAATCTGGCCGTAATTTTTTTTATTCAGAAAAAATAATTATTTTCTGAAAAAAAAAATATGAAAATGAGAGTTAGTGTGATATATTTGTTCAAATTTGGGTCAATGTGCAATATTAATGAAGTTGGAGTATAATAAATAGAATTGATGAAAATTATATTATGAAAGGTATTTTAGAAAGAAAACATAGAGATGGATTTATTTACAAGACTTCTTTTTCATATGTACCTATATGATATGCCTAATTGGGCCAACCCAATGGACCTACAATTTCTTTATTTAATGGGCCACGAACCCAATATTTAAGACCACTATCACCGAGGCCCAATCTCCTTCAAGTAAGGTTTGGGCCTGACAATCTCAACTAAGTTATAAATAAAGGTTTGAACTCATTCCTTAAGGTACGTCCTATTATCGGAGTAATACTATAATTTGTATTCTCTCAACTATTTCCACAATCCTCACGTCTGACTTGAGCGTCGGGGGGGTTTCCGCCGGATCAACCCCCGGCCTAGTTCACATGTTCTTTGTTCACAGGTATCTTAGGGCCATCTAGCACGTGAGCAGTGATCCACTTTGCTCTCCCAACTCCCTCGATCTCAACTACTTAAGGTGATCTATTTTTAGCATCATCATAATGGCGCCGTCTGTGGGAAAGCATACAAGATCACGTAGCGAGCATGATGTCCCTGAGTTATCTACTCGGAGAGAACGCGCCAATGCTAACAACCTTCCACCTCGTGGAGGCTCTGTCTTTCCACTTCCTCCTCGTAATCATGATCCACCTCATGAGGTCCAGATAAATCCTCCGCAGGATCCACCACTCCCCGCTCCCCGAACGGTTCAAATAACCGAAGAGGCCATCCAACACATGATTGCGGAAGTTTCAGCTCGAGCTGCCACTGAAGCAGTGGCACAATACATCGCCACAACGGGAGTCAACGCTCCCCTTGCATCTCCACCCGTGGCACAACGACCTCCACCGCCACCGGATAACACATCCACCTCAGACCCTATGTCTCGAATGCAACAATCTACTCATCGCCTTAATGCACGAACCGGGCGACAAGTCTCACGTTCACCTTCAAGAGGCAACGCCTCTCGCCAACGAGTACCTCCACACAATGCTGGAGATGATGAAACTGACAGTCGGGTATCTCGCTCAAATGACCTCCCCCACATAGGTAATCCTATTGGTGGTAGGGCAATACCTCCAATAAGGCGCAGTCCATTTACTGTCGCAATAATCAATGAGATACTACCCCAACGGGTAAAGGTCTCGAGTCTACCCCAGTTCGATGGAACTAGTGACCCTCATGAGCACCTTGAAATGTTCCACGCCATTGCAGATCTATATGGCCCAACTGATGCGGCGATGTGCAAGATGTTTCGCACAACGCTCTCCGAACGAGCATTGAGCTGGTTCAACTCCTTGCCCACTGGGTCAATTGAAGCTCTCTCCCAACTACGGATCGCTTCACCCACTATTTCGCTATCAACAAAGAGTACGCTAAGACTCCCGCGTACCTCTTCACTATCACCCAGAGAGAGGGCGAGACCCTTCACAACTACATTCAACGATTTGTAGAGGCAGCTCACAAAGTTCCTAACGTGGGATGAAGCATGCTCGCTGGAATCATTCAACAAACTTGAAGGAAGGTAGATTCAAGGAATCTATTGCAGGAAGACCTCCAACCACTCTAGAAGAACTACTAAGTCGCGCTGAGAAACACGTGCGCATCGAAGAGGCTTCAGCCCTCCCTCATCCCAAGAGAAAAAGAGATGAAGATCACTTCAACACCCTGTAACGAGATGGCCGACGACAATCGTCGACATCTCATTGAGAATCTCCTTCTACATCCCTAGATTTCCAATGAGGTCAATGACACTTAGAGTCTCTCGAGTCCATAACATTATTAGTGATCGCATCATCCTAAACTGGGGGGGCTATCCTACCTTAAGGATGATGCATCCCCTCACCTCTCGACATCAATTGGACGAAACATCTACTTAGTACAAGTTTAGTTATTTTGAGCGAAGGGCTCCCTACTTGTTTAGTTACATTCGCCTCAAGTAGGCTTGTAACCTTCACATTTTCAAGCAATGAATAAAACAAGTTATTTCCCTTACACTTGGTGTTATTGCTCAACAACTACTTAATTATTATCTCAATATGCGCACGTGATCAGCGAGCTTCATCCATCGCGAGACAATGCCCAATGGTTTGACATCTCATCTCAAGGTTGGTATTCCCCCATACATTTCTACCCTAAGGGTTAGACATCCCATCCCAAGAGTTGGGTATCACCACTCTACCACAAGGATTAGACATGCCTCAAAGGTTGGACATCAACCACCTCCCAGAAAAAAAAAAAAAAAAATCCGGCGAAAAAAATCTGGAAGAAAAAAAAAAATCAAAACCGCCGGTCAACCCCGAAATCCGGCGGCAAAAAATGTTTTTTGAAAAAAAAAAGTTTTGGGTCAAAATTGAATAATTTGTGAAATTTGGGGTCAAATTGAGGTTAAATTAAGTTAAGGGTGAAATTGGAGCATAATAAAGTATGAGGGCTATTTTAGTCTTTTACAAAAATCTGGACCATATGTGGACTTATTAGTAAATAAGTTTTTTGTCTGGATCTCTTTATGAATAAGTACCCATCAATGGACTTATTTGTAAGAACCCTATTTTTATTAACTAAATAGTAAAAATTATAAATGTATGTCCTGACATAATGCTAAATGCGCTGGGCAGAAATTACACGTGGGGCTAATAAAGTACTTGAATATCTATTACTCCCTCCGTTCCCCATTAAGTGTCGTTTTTGGCTTTGCACAAGGATTAAGAAGCTCAACAAATGTGTCTTGATTTTAGGTAAAATATATTAGAAAGACTAAAATAACCTTGATTATTTAATGATGTGATAAGAGAGAGTTAATACTTATAGTTGAATTAATAAGGTTAAAACAGGAAAAAATGCATTTAATGCAGTATTGGAAATCTAAAGTAACAGATAATTATGGAACAAAAATATTTAAAAAAAGAGACAGTTATTGTGGAAAAGAGGGATTACAATACAAAGTACATTAGATGATTAGAACTCTAGCGGCGGACGATTCTATAAAAAAGGAAAAGAAAAAATACGACTCACCGTCGTTACAAACCACTGTCAAGCATCAGAATCGCGTCAGCACCACCAATCAATTTTGAGGTAATTAATTTTTCTCACTCCCTCTGTTAACTTCTCTCGATTTCTATTTCTCTGTCTAAATGAGTTTTGGCTGGGAATAATGTAATTGTGCTTTAGCTGGGGGAAGACCTTTAACAATTTTGTCCAATTCCCCACTCAATTCTATATATGAGTTGTTGATATAAAGTTTGATTTCAGCATTAGGTGAAAGATTTCGTCCCTTTTAGTTTCGTTTTTTTTTCCCAATTGTTTCCAGTTTTATCTTCAAGAAACATTGATCAATGTTGATTCAAGAAATTTTCAACAGGTGTTCATATGCAATTTAGTTGGGTTTTTTTTTTTTGGGTGTGTGTGTCTGTGATATTATGTTTTGGAATAATGGTATCATTCATATTAATTTATTCTAAAATCGTTCTCATCGATGTCCTAATTTGCGAATTCCCACCTGTGCTATAATTCAGAAGAGGTGTACTCAGGATTCGTTGCGCTTCGGTATCACTTTGTGTTATTGTGCATATAACTTGTGTTTTATCTATGTTCTACAAAAAAAAGATAGGCATATAACTTGTGTTTTATCTATGTTTTATCTATCTTTTTTGTTATTAATAAAAAAGAAAAATAAATTGTGTTGATTATTGTTACTTTATGCAATTTCATTTACAATTCCTTTTTTTTTATAAAGTTTCCATTAGAAGATCGGATGGCATTGCTGTTGTTAACAACTTTGTCTATATAAACTTGTTAAACTTTTACATCTCGTTGTTAAATTCAATTTAACTATTATAGATATGGAGAATGGTATCGTTTTAACTATCATAGATATGGAGAATAAAGTGCAAACTGCGGTCGGCATTGCTGGTGGGTTTTTTCTTTTTTACTATTCCATTTACATATTTTATTTCTCTACGGTTGTGTTTCAATTCTTGTTTTCTTTTTCTTGAAACAGGAATAATTTCGGGGGTATTTCTTTACTTGACACCGATGTAAGTTTCACGACTTAATCAATTTGAAATTGCAGTTTGACAGGTTTCTTTTATCTTGTGTTATTAAAGATATGGGTCTATTGTTTTACTATGTTGTTTAGGGGACTAATATTTTAGTTTTTCTTCATTTGTGTTTCAACTTTCTTGGAAAAATATCATGATATGTTACATAGTTGGTGAGACACTATTTATACCTAATGTTTGTTGTGCGCAAATTTTCTTAATAGGAAAATTGTCATAAGGATTGCGGAGGAAAGATCATCGGAAAAGTTATCAGTAACCCCGTATTTTCTTGCATATCTGAACTGCGTGTTTTATATGGGGTACGTGTGTTTGGTTTCTTCTATAATTGAAACTGCCAACAATAGTCTCATTCATAGAATAATCTAATTTGTTGATTTTCCTTTCTTGATAGGTATACAGCATGGTCATCAAATTGGCTTGCAGTCATTGCGAATGCATTAGATGCTCTCATTGTTTTTCATTATGTGATGATTTTTATGTTTCTTTCACCAATTAACTTGATTGCATATAAGCGTGTGGGAGCACTCCTTGTTGTATTTGTGGTTTTAGTCACATTTATTTTTGTTCCCTTGTCAATGCATGAGCATCTGGGGCTGCTTTTCAATGGATTGGTAGCCACTGCATTCTCCATTGCTCTTTATATCACATCACTAGTAAGTATCTCTTCTTCATAAATCTTTTTATTATTTTGACTGCGGCATGTATGTTTTGTTTATTGTTAATACTGAAGAAAATTTATAAAATGATGTACTGTATTTTGCCATCCAATTAATGGTATTTGCAATTATTTTTATTGAGTGATGACATTTCTTAATTAGTTGGTGATTTTTTGACAAAAAAAACTGTAGTTTTTGGTGATCCAAAGAAAAGAGGTGGAATTCATGTCATTCTACACGTCGATCTTGATGTTGTTGAACGGGGCATTCTGGTTTGTCTTTGGCTTACTTAGACAAGACTTTTTTATTGTTGTAAGTATAATAAATATTGCAACTCATTTGATTTTCAGATTTGTTTCTTAAATGTCGGTCGACTAAATATGTTCATTCTCCAGCTATTAAATGGTGTTGGCTGTGGAGTGGGAGCAGCACAAATATACCTGATGTATCCAAATAACAAAGGCAAAACTGTGAAGCAAAAGAAAACTATAGAAGGGGAAACCAGGAATCAAAAGAATAAAAACAAAGGAGGAGAAAATAAAACCAAGATTGCATGATTTATTTAAAGCTTAATTTTGAAGGGAACTTGCAAAAGCTATTTGGCTTCAAAAATAGTGCCCATAGTTATTTGTTTATTTATGTATGTTTTATGGGTCTCAAAAACTGGTGTACCATAACCGCTTCACTCTAGTACTTGTAATTTTTTTTTTTTGGTTATTATGCTTATGGTAGTATTTAGGGTAAAAAAACATTTTGCCCCCTCAACTATGTCGTTTTTTCATTGCTATGCAAACAAAATACTTTTCCACGACTTTTTCCTAAACTCATTTACTTGTTGCATCTTGCCTATTTCCATCAAAATCAAAATAATTTAACAAGAAATATACCAACTAATTAGCATAATTTTTAAACGATTCTAGACGACATAGTTTAATATGCTCCAATTTCGTCATTTAATTCAATTGAACTTCAACTTAATCCTAAATTTCACAAATTTTTCAATTTTGACTCAAAACTCAATTTTGAGCAATTTTTACCGCCGCTCTCCGGGATTGACTCTTTCTTTTTTCTCCAAATTCTTCCGTCGGTTTTCGGCGTTGACCATTGGTCAACACTGGTCTCTGACGTTGACTTCTTTGATTTTTTTTCTTCTTCTTTCTGCCGTTACTAACCGGCAGTCAACGCCGGTCTCCGACGCCTTTTTTTTGATTTTTTTTCTTCAACATCTATTTGCCTGTTTAAACAGTAATATTACTGTGGTTGACCGTAATAAAAAAAATAGTATTATTGTTTAACACATTAATATTAACTATATTACTGTTTAACAAAGTAATATTACTATATTATTCTCTAGCACAATAATATTAACACAACAAAAATCACTATTATCGTGTAATAGTGTAATATTAATATGTTGACCGTTCAATAAAGACAAATATAATAAAAAACAAGAAGAATTAATATTGATGTGGTTAACAGTAATATTGATGTCATCCACAATAATATTATTGTGTTTATAGTAAACAATAGTAGACAATAATATTATAACGTTAATCGGTCAACAAGTCAAACAAAACAACAATTCCAAAAAAAATAATATTGATGTGGTTGATATTAATATTATTATGTTTACAGTAATTTTACCGTCAACGTCAACAAATAAAACAAAATCAAAGAAAGCCAAAAAAACAATAATATTGTTGTGGTTGACAGTAATTGTACTGTCAGCATCGATTGTATAATTACTGTTAATAACAGTACAATTACGGTCAACGTTTAGCGGCGAACGTAAAAAAATGATATTTTTTAGGGGAAAAAAATAATTTAAAAAGTCACCGCCGTAGACTGGCGGCGGAAAATTAAATAAAAAAAATAAATAAATAAAAAATCAATGCTGAAAACAGCGGCAAGAAAAACAGACATAAAAAAAAAATCAACGCCGAAACACGGTAGTAAAAAATAGTTTAAAAAAAGGAAAAAGTCAAAATTGAATTTTTCCTTTATTTATAGGAAAAACAAAATCATATTTTTAAGGTAAGTCCAAAATATTTTTAATTAATAAAAAATAATTAAATTTCACTATTATACCATTATATCATTATTATGGAAAATCAATTATTTTTTTTTTGTAAATATGCAAATCCCCATTTTTCCATGTCTCAAGTCAATTTCTGTTTTTCCTTTTTCTTTTTGATTTTTTAATGGTTTTCATTAGTTCGATAAATTGATTATTTTTTAATTTTTTAATTATTTATTTATTTTTATTTTCAATTTTTATTTTAAATTATTTTTAACTTATTTATATTTTTCATCTTGATTTAACAAAAATGGTTTTATGTTTATTTTTTGTTTTTAATGGTTTTTTTTTCTTAATTTCGATTTTCTTAATTTTTTTTTCCAGTTTTTTGCATAAAAAATGATTTGTTTAATTATTTTTTGTTAATTCCTTCTATATTTTGATTAAAAATTAATTTATTTTTTAATATATAAAAAAAATCATGCATGTTTATCAAAGTGGAATCCAATATACACGGATTTCGACTAATTTGTAGTGAATTTCGATAAATTTATAGTGGATTTCGATAAATTTGTAGTGGATTTCAACAAATTTATAGTGGATTCGATAAGTTTATATTGGATTTCGACATGTTCGTAGTGGGTTTCGATAAATTTATAGTGGTTTTCAACAAATTTATAGTGGATTTCGTCTAGTTTGTAGTGGGTTTCGATAAATTTTTGGTGGTTTTCAACAAATTTATAGCAGATTTTGATAAGTGTATAGTGTATTCCACTTTGATAAACCTGTTGATTTTTTTTTTCAAATATTAAAAAAAAATATATTTTTAATCGAAATAAAATAAAATTAATAAAAAAATAATTAAACAAAACATTTTTTTAATCAAAAAAACTGTAAAAAAAAAAATCAAAAATACCATTTTAAAAAATTGAAATTAAGAAGAAAAAAAACCATTAAAACATGAAAATACAATTTAAAAAATCAAAATGAAAAACATGAAAAATATAAGTAAGAAAAAAATAATTTAAAAGAAAACACTGAAAATAAAACTAAATTAAAAAATAATTTTTTTTTGGTTTAAAATTAAAATAAAGAAAATCCTTCAAAAAAATACAAAAGAAAAGAAAAAAAAGAAACTGAAATAGCGCGACACGAGGAGATATTAAAGGGATTTGCATATTTATAAAAACTAATTAATTTTCTACGATAATATCATATGGTAACTTTCATTAATATTAAATGAGGGTATTTTGGATAATTCGAGTCAGTTGGATTTATTAAAAATATCAATTAATAAAAATGGATTTATCATGAAGTTAAAAATTCAATGAGGAGGTTTTGTCAAATAGCCCCTTTTTTATAATACATAATAAATGGATGCTTATTGACGGAAGAGATATAACCCCTGAACCTAGAATAATAAAGATTGTTGGACAGGGTCTTATTCATAATTAAGGTCACATTACAAATAAGTCCATCATGTGATACTTATTCATAAAGGGGTTCAGACAAAAAACTCTTTTACAAAAAGTCCAGACACTATCAAGAGGTGTGTAAAAAACTAAAATACCCTTCACATTTTAATATGCTCGAATTTCATTATTTAATTCAATTTAACCTCAATTTCACCTCAAATTTCACAAATTATTCAATTTTATCCAAAACTCAATTTTGAGTAGTTTCACTTGTCGCCGTCGTTGACTGCTGGTCTCCGACGTTGACTTTTTTTTCTTTTGTTTTTTCCACTGGTCTCTAGCGTTGACTTTTTCGATTTTTTTTTCTTCTTTCTGCTGCCGCTGACCGGTCAACGCCGATCTCCGGTGTCGTTGACTTTTTTTTCTTTTTTAATTTTTTTTCTTCAACATCTGTTTGCACGTTTAAACAGTAATATTGTTGTGGTTGACCGTCATATTAACTATATTAACGTTTAACACAGTAATATTAACTATATTACTGTTTAACACAGTAATATATTAGCTATAGTACAGTTTAACACATTAATATTGTTATACTACTCTGTAGCACAGTAATATTAACACAAAAAAATTACTATTATTGTGCAATATAGTAATATTAATATGTTTATGGTTTAACAAAGGCAAACATAATAAAAAGCCAATAAAATTAAGGGAAAATGAGGGATAACCCCCTCATTAGGTAAAATAATATAGTATAGGCCCAATTTATAATTGACCATTTGTAGACAAATCCATTTAATATTTTCTGAATTGTGTGACCCCCCTAAGCTTATGTTAATGCCCATTATGCCCTTTTTTGTCCATATTTATCTCCAACTTTCTCTCTCTTCTCCTTATTTCTCTCATATCCGTCATTTTATATCTCCATTAATTTCTCTCTCTTCCTTATTTTCCTCAATTTTTTAACGTGTTCTTTTATTCTTCTTATTTTTCTCTCTCCTCTCTCTTATCTTCTCTCTCTTCCTTCCCTTCT